GTACCTTACTGCCTGTATCTGACTGTACCTGGCCGCCTGTACCTGGCTGTCTGCATCTGGCTGGATCTACCTGTCTGTATCTGTCTGTACCTGGCTGCCTGTATCTGACTGTACCTGGCTGCCTGTACCTTGCTGTACCTTGCTGCCTGTATCTGACTGTACCTGGCTGCCTGTACCTGCCTGTACCTTGCTGCCTGTAACTGGCTGCCTGTATGTGCCTGAACCTGGGTGCCTGTATATGACTGTAACTGGCTTACTGTGCCTGGCTGCCTGTACCTGGCTGCCTCTATCCTGCTGCTGCCTGTACCTGGCTGTCTGTATCTGTCGGTACCTGGCTTACTGTACCTTGCTGCCTGTATCTGACTGACTGTACCTGGCTCCCTGTATCTGCCTGTACCTGGCTGCCTGTACCTTGCTGCCTGTACCTGGCTGCCTGTATCTGCCTGTGTCTGCCTGTACCTGGCTGCCTGTACCTGGCTGACTGTACCTGGCTGTACCTGACTGTACCTGGCTGCTGCCTGTACCTGGCTGCCTGCTGACGGGGGGGGCTCCACTCACCAGCAGACAGAAGACGCTGGTCCTGGGGAGCCTCATGCTGCCTTCGCGGTGCGTCCGGCGTCTGAGCGTCTGCGCGGAGCCGCCGGCTTTATGCCCCCCAGCTCTGATCTGATAAGCAGAGCGGGGAGATTCCTGCTGCTTCATCACATGCTGATTAGGACTGATAGCATCTCTGAGTCAGCAGGACCCACAAACCTTGCTAGGGGGGGGGGGGGGCCATCTGAGGCAGGTCCATCCCACCTATCCTCTCCCCACCTGTTTACTCTGGATAAACTTCCAGCATCTTCTTCATTTGTTTCTTATATTTTGATTTTTTACTCGTTCTGGTGCTTCTCTGATACAGGAAGTGGTTCCTGCCCGCTGCAATAAGAGTCTACAGCTCATCTGCCTCTGTCACCGATCTGGACCAATCACAGCGCTGGACCAATCATAGAACAGGACCAATCGCAGTGTTTATTTTTTTGCTTTATTGTACAATATTGTATCCGACAATCCAGTGGCGGAGCGTGCATTTCACAGCTAGGCTTTCAGTAGTGCGCCATCTGAATCAATTCCCCCCTCAATAACGATTTTATGGTTATAGAAATAATCTTATTAAGTAGAAATACAGTAGGGATGTCCTGATCCAGCTTGTTGTATAAAGTGGAAAGTTATTTTTTCTACTTACTCAGTTGTCAGACTCATGTTGAACAGCTTTGGCTGGTACGCTATCTGACTATCCAATCAGCCGGTGTGAATACGGTGACGTTGCCGAAGGCCTTCTAGAAGGCCCTGGTGTCACCAACTTAAGATCTGATTGGTTAAAGCAACAGTGTACTCGATAAGTATTTTCTGTTGCTACAGAACGGATTGTGAAGGCCTCCTGGCAGACATCTTTGACTTTGACCCTGCCTAGCAACAAATGATGGCTGAAATGTGATTGGTTAAAGGCTTTTATATGAAAATGCATGTCTGGAAGCAGCGGAACCAGGGGGAAAGCTATGAAAGGAAGCGGACAGACTATTTAGATATATTTAATACGTTTCCATGGACAAAATATAATTAACATCAGTCTGTGATTCAGATATTTTCTTAGGCCTACAGAGAAGGCCTTGCAGGCCCTGACGGCCC